ATTAGCACGTCCTTAGCTTCTAACAGTTCGCGTGCTAATCGCAGAGTAGCCGCCATATAATCGGACATTGCTTCTTATAGAATTAAAGTTAAAGAATATAAGGGTGAAATTAAGAAGTAAAAGTGTTTTTATACATTTATACCTTTTCCTTTTAAGATAATTAAGCTTTTCTTTTACCTAGCGCTATAATAGCTTTACATTCTTATACTTCTTTTACTACTAAAATATCCTCTTTCTTTCTTACGCATAGCTACTACTTCTCTATCCTTTTACTTCTTTTAAACCTTCTTTATAGTTCTTCCTTTTTCTTAGCTAAGCAAGGCTAACTATAGCTAGTAAAATAGAAAGACCTCTTTAATTTTGCTTAAGCAGCTATAGTAGACGCTTAAAAAACTTAGGAATACTATGGTAACAAATATTATTAAGCTTTTAGATCTTATAACTAAAGAATAAAGTCTTCTTATGTTTATAAAACGTAAAGACTGCTTATCTTTTAAAGAAGCTTAACTAAGTTAGCCTTTCTTTTAAAGCTATTAGCCTAGTTAAGTCTTATATAGTTAAGCTTAACACCTTTTTAAGGATTTATATTATATTCTATGTTAACTTACTCTACTATGCTTACTAAGACCCCTTCCCCTTCTAGACTACCCTTAACTTTAGTTTGCTTTTTATCTTACCTTTAAATGCTAACCTAAACTATAACGCTAAAGAATACTTAATTAAGTCTAATCTTTAATTTAAAAAACGCAGCCGCGGTTACTAAGTCTTAGTTAAATAGATAGGCTTCCTACGTCTAAACTACCTACAACCCTTCTTAATATAGCCGCTTATAGGGCATTTAAAAAGACCCTTTATATAACCCTCCTATAAAAAAGAAAGAAGGCTATTATAATAGGCTATAGCCTAATATAAGTCTTTAGCTCTGCTCTTAGCCTAGGATAACTAGGTTAGCCAAGCTATATAACCAGCTACGCACTTTATAAAAGACTATAGTAAGATACCTTAATTAAACATAAGAACTAAAAAGCGCTAGTCTACCTTTTCTAAGCCATAACCTTTTAGCTAAAAACTACTTTACGCTATGCTTGCTAGTAACTTACTTGGATAAGAAGTAGGAACTAGCCGGAGGAAACCTAGTAAGGTATAAAAAGAAGAAAGAGACTATTTAAGACGAAAAGAAGCAGGCTTAATTGTATAAATATCTTTTTTCCTTTTTTAGATTAGTTTTTAACTAGTTTAATCTACTTAATAACAACTTCTTTTATTAGGCTAGACCTTAATAAAAACGAAGTTAAGGTTTTAGTTCTTTTTATATATTACTTTTATAAAAAAGGCTATTAAAAGGGTAGCTTTTAAGTTTAAATAAGTAAAAAGGTATATAAACTAAAAGGCAAAAGAGCTAACAGTAAAGCTATTAATCTAAATCTTACTTTTTCCGCTGAAAGACTATACTTTATAATCCTTTTAGTTGCTAAAAAAAATAAAAACATAATTAAAAAAGTCTTCTTTAAGCAAACATTAAAGGTAAAGGTAAGGGTAAGGGTAAAAGTAAAGATAAAAAAGGTATTTAGACGAAGTATAATAGGTAAGAGTTTTAAAGCTATAGGTATAAAGTGCTTAATAGTAACTAAGTAAGTTATTAATTCTTAGGTTTAGTATAGTAGCTATTATAGTATTACTTATAAGTTAAAAGCTAGCATAAGTATAGTAGTTTAGTCTATAAAGAAATCTATAATAAGTTTAATAAAAAGAAAGGTTTTCCTTTTTATTTTTAAAAGGGTTAAAGTCATACTTTAATTTAAAATAAGTTTAGTATATAAAAAAGCTATAAACTAAAGCTTTAAGGTTATATGTTTTTAAAGTAAGTATTAATAAAGTTTATATATTAAATGTTAAAAAGAGTATAATAAAAGCTTAAGGTTTAAAGGTTTAAAAGATTACTCTAAAAGTACTAAAGGTTTAAAAGATTTTACGAAGTTTAAAGAAATAAGTTTAGTTTTATATAAAAGTCTAGCCTAATAAAAAAAGTTACTATTAAGTAGATTAAACTAGTTAAAAAATAAGCAAAAGAAAAAGAAAGATATTTATACAAATAAGCCTACTTTCCTTCTTCTTAAATAGTTCCTTCCTTCTCCTTAATCCTTACTAAGTCCCTTTTAACTAGCTCTTACTTCCTACCTAAGTAAGTTACTAGCAAGTATAGCGTAAAGTAGTCTATAGCTAAAAAGGTAAAGGCTTAAAGAGGGACCGGCGCTTCTTAGTTCCTATGTTTAATTAAGGTATCCTACCGTAGTCTTTTATAGAGTGCGTAGTAGGTTACGTGGCTTAACTAACCTAGTTATTCTAGGCTAAGAGCAGAGCCGAGAACTTACATCGGGCTATAGCTTATTATATTTAAAAGGATTTATAAAGACTAAAGCCGTTAATGCTTATATAAAAACTATACAATAGCCCTTTAGCTATAATTAGCTTTAATTGTATTAGTTTAGAAGCTTTTCTAAGTTATCTCTTAAATCTTTCCTTTAACGCAGCTAAATTTAATTTGCGTAAGCTTGCCGTCTACTTTATTACTTAACCGTAAGCGATTATATATAAATTATAAAGGTTAAAAGAGGTTATACGTGGCAGTTATATAACGTAATGCACTGTAAGGAGCAAGAGGCTAAATAGGGTCTAGTGTAGGCAAGCGAAAGAGTGTTATATACTAAAGAAGAAGTAGATACATCGCGACCCTTCTAGGAGTCTGTATTAATACTAGTGCTAAGCCCTGCTTTTATGCATTTTAACTAATTGCAGGCCTGTACGGCCAAGTGGGGCGGAAGGGCTACAGTGTAGCGGATTCTAATGCTTAACACAAATCTAGCTTCTTTTATCTACTATATAAGATCGGCCTTAAGCTCTTTAAGGCTACTATATAATAATTTGCTAGCTAGATAGTAATTAGCAGGCAGCTACGCTAGAATTATTGTTATAGAAAGATCTGCTATTAAGTAAAAGATATAATAGTTAGTATATAGTATAGAGTAAATATCGTTTTTAATTAGTAGTTTTGGATCAATAATAAGTGTTGTTGCTTCAGTTGTATTCTTATACATTGTTTACAAACAATTAGTAGATAACAGCCCAGCAAGTAGATTGCCATGATCAACTCCACAATACTTTACTGATGTTTTACAATCTTTATTAAATAGAAATTACCCTAGTTTAGAATGAGCTTTAACTTCTCCACCTAAACCTCACGCATTTGTAAGTCTACCTTTACAATCAAATGTTATTAATTTAACGTACTTTATAATAGTAAACAAAACAAAAATTTACGGCAAAAGAAGTAAGTATATTCTTATTCTAGTATAGCGCAGATGTAATTGACTAATTGAATAAGTTTTGCTAGACCTACTCTATGTACTATATCTTTTATTAGTGGATTACGGTGTAGATAGCTAAATTTTACGGTGTAAATAGCAACTCTCTTAAGTATACTGCTGCTTCTTTTTATTAAAGAGATACCTTTTTGCTTGCTTAACTTATATAGCCTACCTAGGTATACCTTTAATATATAAACTTAATATATAATATGTATATTTTGAATATATTAATTAAAAGAGTGGAGAATATATACTATACTGCTATTAAATACATTTTATAACGTTTATTATAATATATATATTTACGCTTATAGTATATATTTCTTTAATAATTGAACGAATAGTATTTGCATTTTATATAAAATGTTTATATAATATATATATATAAATAAGTTTATAATTAAAATTAAAATATTATTTATAATGTATATATTAATGTTTATTTATATTTTATATAAATAACAAGTATAAAATTTTAGTTACTTAATATAATATAAGTTATTATAGTTAAGTACTTCTTAGCTATACTAACATATATACAAGCCTTACTTAATAGGTGAGTCTAAAAACTAAACGCTATAGGTTGCATGTATCTTTCCACCTTACGCCTAACGTGTATACACGCCCTACCTAACACACTGCCTTCGCAACACTTGTACCACCCTTTAGTACAGTACAAGATGTAGAAGACGAGCCTAAGGCAGTAATTGTTTTGGCATGAATTACTAATTAAAAAGACCCAGAAATAGACCCACAAGGGTCGACTTAGCTTTTGTGGGAATGGTCGGGTTGTATGTAGACACCTCTGTACGGAGTATCTTACGTTGTTAATCGGATGACTAACTTGGCCTATTAGCGGTGAGTACGGGCAGTATCTTACGCATATGATTGCTATACGGAGTATATGGAGAACTAAGTGTAGAAATGCGTGCTTCACTACTCCGTACATCACAACACCTGGGATATCTAGTTCCTTACCGCATTGCCTTGAAATTATGAACGACCAAAGAATACACTCTTGTACGGCAGTCTCAGAAAATGAAGGCACTTTCCATTCCCCAGAAGCGACACCATCACTTACTGTGGCCACAACTGCCGGTCAAAAGCTTCGCAAAATTGTTCGAAAGAAACGCCGACCAGCGCGGCCTCAGGTAGACCCTGCTACATTCAAATCAGAACCACCGCCACAGACTGGGGTGACTTTCAAGTATGTACTTGATTGACGCGTTGATCTTGTCTCTAAGTTTTTTCTGAGGTATGTGTGTAGGCAAACCGGTTAACAACGTTCTCTAGCATCTGGTACAACAAATGGAGCGGAGGCGACCGAGAGAGCAGCCAAGCTAGCCAGACACATGCAAAGGGACGTTGCAATGTTGCTAAGGATTCGGGATATTCACTTGCAGACAACGTGGCTGGGTCGTATTTTTGTCTCTTTGTAGGTGTTGGGGCGGTATCCTTTGCATCGTGTCTCTTGGGCACAATTTGTTAACCTGGTGTTCCTATCAGTTTGCTCGCGGCCTTTGTCCTAAGGGAAGTGATTGCCCATATCTTCACCGACTACCCACCCTGACCGATCTTTTCAATCCGAATGTGGACTGCTTTGGCCGCGATAAATTTTCTGGCTATCGAGACGATATGGGTGGCGTTGGCAGCTTCATGCGGCCAAATCGTACGATATATGTCGGCCGAATACACGTTACCGACGATATTGAGGAGATAGTGGCTCGTCACTTTGCCGAGTGGGGTCAAGTTGAACGCATCCGCGTCTTGAACACACGAGGCGTCGCTTTCATCACATACACAAACGAGGCAAACGCCGAGTTCGCAAAGGAGGCTATGGCACACCAGTCTCTCGACCACGACGAAGTTCTCAACGTTCGTTGGGCCACTGTGGACCCTAATCCTATGGCGCAAGCCCGGGAAGCTCGCCGCGTTGAAGAGCAGGCCGCTGCCGCGGTCCGTGCGCTTCTTCCCCCGGAATATGTTGCGGAGCTAGAGGGTCGGAATCCGGAGTCTAGTAAGCGTCGCAGGATCGAAGGTGGTTTTGCGCTCGAGGGATATGAAGCTCCAGATAGTATCTGGTTTGCGCAAGCACGACATAGCCATGGGAAGTATGACGAAAGTGCAATTGCCAGTGGAACCCCGAGTGATGATCAGCCAAGCAGAAACCATGTGAGTCACAATAGCAACAGCGATAATGTTGACAAGCCTGACGGGGTTTTATCGGGGTCTACATTGGCGATGCTGCAACGACAACGGGAAAAAAACGGCGGGTTGGCATTACAAACATCCAAGGAGACAAAACCAGTCGGCGCTCTGGTAAGTTATAGCAGTGATGATGACGACACGTCGTGAAGCCGGACCTTGTCCGAAGCTCCGGTAGAGGGGCCTATATGTATTACTACACGTCAAGATTCAGGAAAACATGCTACAATGTATCTATTATTACATTCCCTTAGGAAGCGACCCGTGAGAAATTTCGCACTAATCAAAGTCACGTGGATGTTCTGAAAACTGTCTACCACACCAGGAAAAAAAAGCTTCGACTGTAATCCGTTCAGACAACCACTATTGCTCTGAAAAATATTGTCACAACGCCATGCTACCATCCATGCGCTTATTTGGCGCAATATCATGCTGCAACACAGTTACGGGAAGAATCACTTTAGCCCCTCGGCAATCAGCGTTGTTGTCGTCAACACCGCTGTCGATCTTGTTTCCACCTCTTGCCGGGCAAAGACGAAACTCAGGCATTCTTGCTCACCTGCGTGACAACCCGGGCGCACATCAGAAACGCATCCGTGTAGGTCGCGGCCCATCTTCCGGGAAAGGCAAGACGTCGGGGCGCGGCCAGAAGGGTCAGAAGCAGCATGGCAAGGTAAAGCCTTGGTTCCAGGGTGGCCAGACGCCACTAATCCGGACATGGGGACAAAAGGGGTTCATTAATCAGTGAGTTCGACCCTCGTGAGTTTGTAAGGGATTAGCGTTCTAAAAGTGCAGTCGCGCCGACGTCATGTCTGAAATCAACCTCGACCATCTTCAAACCTTTATCGATTCAGGAAGAATTGATTCTTCGAAACCAATCACCCCAAAGGAGCTTATTCAATCCGGTATTGTTGGGCGGGTACGCGATGGTATCAAAATTTTAGCACGAGGGAAGGACCAATTGCGGACACCAATCAATCTGTTGGTTTCTCGGGCCTCAGCCGGGGCCATTGAAGCCATTGAAGCCGCTGGTGGCAAAATCACGACACGCTACTTTACAAAACAGTCTATCAAATGGCTTTTACAAGGGAAGTGCACTATTTCGAGCTCACCGTTACCAAGAGGTTCGGATCATGTCGAGGCAGAACTGGAAAAGTTCCGAATGGCCCCGCGCGTGCGCAGGTTGCCGGATCCAATAAGCCGCTGGGATATCGAATATTATAGAGACCCGGCCCATAGGGGATATCTAAGCCAGACTCTGCAGCCTGGTGAGTCACCTAGTCTTTACTTCAAGGTTCCTGGTGAACGGCGCATCGTTCGGGCTGGGAAGAAGGTGGCCGAGCTGAAGAAGGAAGACAGTGCTCTTTTCTGAATAGAACCCCTTTGATAAAAGCTACCAGATGAAATACTATACTTTGGGAAAGGCGATATATTGTATATGTTATGGTGTTCATGAGGTGGGAGAGTCGTAAATTTCCGCTGCTTTGTAAGATACATAGTATAAACTATATAGGGTATCTGTAACTATAATGCCTTATAATGCAAGGTATCCATTATCAGTTAGCCCCTAACTTTCTTATTTTAGAGCCTCCTGGTTTGACAGGCATCAAAACATTTTGATAGCATCCCGCAGCGACGAGCTTTCTATCTGCTAACAATATCTCATTAACTTCAGCTACATCACGCAACCCTGTCCCGTCCGGGTGACACATTATTGGCCCCACAGACAAACGATCTGTGGCCGATCCGACCTCTCTTTGCAGTAACGCCTGTAATGCACGCCGTGTTTCCCGCGCTTATCGAACGCAATTCTGAACACTGGCATCGATCTTCGCGTTCATTTTACAACGAATCCAATCCAATCGACTTTCTGCAATATCGCAATCCGTTTCCTACTAGCTACCGTTGCCATGTCTCTTTTCGGTACTGTATTGTCAGAAGACGCGCCGCCAACGAGTCCACTTGCGCGATCTAGGAACGAGCTATTTGAAAATGAGTCAAATACACAATCAGGTCACGATAGCTTATTTGACGACGCATCAGCGTCCCCGTGGGATAGACCTATACGGAAGCCAAAAAGTCGGGCAGAACTTTTGCGAACCCTTCTTTCGAATGCAGACGTGCCAGGCACATACATCAGCTCATTTGAGTCCATAAACAGAGACGATGGTACAGGTCGAGCCTTTGCTTCGGCCGATGATCTGTCTCACTTTTTAACAGCATCGCAACTTGGTGCCGATGATCAGGCAAAAATCACCGCCATTATTGCTCCAGATAGTAGTAAGAATATCGCACTAAACCAGGATGAGTTCAATGTGTTTCTGGCGTTGATTGGGTTGGCTCAAGAGGGAGAGATTGTCGGCTTGGATGGTGTGGATGAACGCCGAAATAGTGAGTACTACTTTATACTATACTTTTGGCACAATCATCATTCTCTCAATTTGCTTAATCTAGCCTTTTTGTTTTCCTTCCCGTCGCGTTAGACTCGCGGTTTCTGCTACAACTAATACCATATAAAGATCTTCCTCATATAAACCTCCGAGGGCGTGTAGCCGCTGCACCGACCAATTTTACAAACAGTGCTAAGGCGCCTAGCATTCAAAACGACAACTCGTCTATACCTCCGTCGACAACGCCTCCTCTTCTGCCTGACACCAAAGTCTCCATGGATTACGCGCCAGATGACCCGTGGAACACACCTGAAATACATAAGCCCCATCATCATACGAGTCCCGCCTCTCATGGGATGACTCTTTCAAAGCCCACTAATGGATTGGGGAGCGAGACTTTTGAAGCTACTTCTATGATTACGACACCAGAAAGTACCTCTATCAGGGCTGAAGAAGATGGGCAGCAACAGAGCACGATTACCAATGTGGAGGAACAAGGCACTTCTAGCTCGGGATGGGACATATACGGCAGGGTTGGCAATACTGCAGCCACTTCCAGCTTGTTTGTGGGAGCTGGTACTGCTAACATTGGCTTGGACGACGACAATATTGACTCGGCACATCTGCCCACTGTGCAACAAACGTCCAGAACTATTGGGAGTGGGCGGACTGGCACCGGCGTCGAGGAAAATATCGTGGTTGCTCTTCTGCCTGAGAAAGAGGGCCTATTCATGTTCCAACACCACAACTACGAGGTGATAAGCACGCGGAGAGGTAGCAAAGTCATCCGAAGGTACAGTGATTTCATATGGCTATTGGAGTGCTTACACAAACGCTATCCTTTCCGAGTGCTACCTTTACTTCCCCCCAAACGAGTTTCGGGTACGTTTTCATCTTCTGAGAAGGCAATTGCCCAGGATTCAAGTCTAACAATCCGATCCAAGTCAATGGTAACCACTTTTCCAATGATGGTGCCTTCATTGAGAAACGCAGGCGAGGGCTGGCTCGCTTTCTCAATGCTTTGACACGACATCCGGTTTTAAGCGCCGAACAGCTTGTTGTCATGTTTCTGACGGTTCCAACGGTAGGCACCTCAGTACTACCCCATTGATTGAGTTTGTCGAACATATCACTGATAGGGGGTGGGCTACTTTGCCTCAAATGGTCTTATAGGAACTTTCTGTCTGGCGCAAACAGGCAACAATCTCTGTGCAAGACGAGTTTGATAGTCGTCCTCTGCTGCCTGGACTGGAGGAATCACTATCACTGCAGCTTGAAACCCTCTTTGTCCAAACTCGCGCCGGCGTTCGACGTTCTACAGATCTTTACGTGACTGTATGCAATATCATGGACCGATTGGTAAAGCGCAGTGAGGGTGTTGCCAATGACCATGCGCGCCTAGCAGTATCACTTCAGTCGATTACGGAAGCGAACTTGGATACATACGCAACCGACACCAACGATGTTCCGCTCCTGAACGACGGGCTTATAGCAATGGGCAAGCGCCTACGTACTGGACAGTCCCTGATGGAAGATGAGGCGAAGGCATGGGACGAAGGTGTTCTGGAAGACTTAAAGAGGCAGCGGGACGCTCTGGTGAGCTTGCGGGATCTCTTCGACAGAAGGGACCGCCTGGACCGAGACAACATTCCTTATCTTGAACGAAGAATTCAGAGCAACGAAACAAAACGGGCTTCTTTACTTTCAAAAGATTCAGAGCAGGTAAAGTCTGGCGATGTTGAAAAGCTCAATGATAGTATTACCAAGGTACGGTTTTCAAACGCATCCTGCTAGTATCTTTCGTTTGCCCGATTTACTGACTTTCTTGACAGGATAAAGAAGCAATTGTTAAGCAACACAACCGATCCGTTCTTGTTAAGGAATGTATTCGCGACGAGCTGGTATATTTCCAGAGCACTCAATATCATGTTTCCCGCTGGAACCAGGACTGGGCACAAGAACGGGTAAAGTATTCCGAGATGCTGGCAGACAATTGGCGTCGCTTGCTGGACGAATTGGATGGCATGCCGCTTGGAGATTAGACGCCTTACTCTTCTGAGTGTCGCCGGGATTTAATTCACGCTTTTTAGTATTTGCTCGTGTTAAGTAATCACAAGTCATGTGACACGAGGATGGGCCCTGATTGATCAATTAGGGACCCACCCTATGCAGAGTTTTACTACTCTTAAATTGCTGCGTCTCTTCCTTTACTCTATTTAAGTAATATAATAAAAAAGTCTACTAAGTAAGCAATTATTTTATTAAGTTATAAGCCTAAAATCCTACTTACTATATAAAGAATTATAATTTATTTAGTTAATATAATACGCCTTTTATAGCATTACTTTTTAGCCCTTTTAAGCTAAATATAAGTTTTGCCTAGTATTTTAAATAGCACTCTATTATAGTCCCTTCTTATTATTTAGCGTACTAGTTTAGCAAAAGTTTATATTAGTAGTAAGAAGTTTTACTAAGCAAAGCCTTGATTAACGCTTATAAGCTATTAAACGACTCTTAGTATACGCTTAAAAAGCTATTAATAAAATTTAAATTAAAAAAAAGTACTTAGATTAATCTAAAGCTAAGTTAGCCTTAACTAAAAAGATTATAATTCTTCCTTAATTTTAAAAAAGACAGAATAATAATAAAAAGAAAGATTTATTATATTTACTAAAGATTAAGTAAGATTGTAATTACTATTCTAATTTATTTAAAAAGGCGTTAGCGTAAGCTATATATAGGCTATACGCAGTATACGCATAGCTTATTAAATGCACATTATAGTCTAAAAGCAGTGCTTATAGCACAGGCTATATAGCGTAGTCTACGTATAAGCTATAGCATATATAAACGTATAGACTAAGTAAAAGCAAGGTTACGCCTACCTAGGGTTAGGAAAAGTACTAGTAGTACAACTAGTAGTACTTGTACTACTCTAGTATAACTAGTACTAGTACTAATATTTTAAGTACTACTATAGTACTATACTAGTACTAGTACGAGTAAGTACTAGAGTAGTACTAGTACGACTAAATACTAGTACTAGTACTAGTACTAGAGTACTTTAATAGTAGTTAATAAGGAAGCTTTTATAGTAATTAATAAGTAAGTATTCTAGAAGCTTTTATAGCAATTAATAAGCAAGTATTCTAGAAGCTTCTATAGTAATTAATAAAGAAGCTTTTTATAGTAATTAATAAGTATATATTCTAGAAGCGTTTAAACTAATATAATATATATAAATACTAGCCTTTATCCTTCTTTGCTCTATAGTTTTTTATTACTATAATAACAACACAAACAAAACAAAAGCAACAGCAATAGCAACAGCAATAGTAATAGTGCTTTAAAATACTCTATTTTAAGCATACTAGCTAGACATTACCTAGCAATTCCTGCTACTTTAGGGGCTATTGAAAGCTATTTCTCTATTAGTAATAATGTTATTACTAAGCCTAGAAATAAGCTTCTTTTAGATATAGCTAAAAAGATTCTTTTATTAAAAAGCTAGAAGATTAAAGATTTAAATGAGTTTAAGAAGGACTTAGGTTTAGATAGTAATAAGGATAGTAATTAAGAACTTATTAGTTAGTTAGTTAGTTAATTATTTTTACTTACTTGCTTATTATTTCTTTTTCTTTTAAATACTATTGCATACTTTATTTATTACATACTTTACTATATTATTATTTACTTTCTTAATATTATTATAAGTTAAAAGCTACTAATACTATTAGTAATACTAGTACACTAGTACTAGTACGGGCAAATACTAGTACTAGTGTACTAGTTTCCCAACCCTACGCCTACCTTACGCACCTAATGTGTAAAAGGTGCGCCTATAATAAAGAGCATCTTTTCTACTTAGTAAAAGATACTTTAATAAAACTTATAGCTAAGTTATGATTTCCTAAATAAAAGCTAGCACTAACGTAGTAGTATCTTTTAATAAGATAGTAAGTAAGGTAATAGTAGCTTTAGTAAAAGTAATAGCTATACGCGTAGTAGTCTTAGGCTAAGACGCTAAGAGGGCTGTTAGCGTAACAAACTATATAGTATAGTACAAAGCGTTTATTAACTCTTAATATATAACAAACAGACTAAATAAAGGTTTACTAGTATAAGTCGCTAAAAAGAGTAAAACTAGTAAGAACGGTTAAGCTTAGTAAAGGGCTAAATAGTAACAAGGTAGGTTTAACTACTTTAATAAAAATCTTTAAGAATAAGCCTTAAAGAGTTACCCTTAACTATAGTAAAGGCTAAGAAGGTAATACTAATAAATATAAGCTTATAAAAGTAAGTATTAAAGCTATAAAAGTAGCTTATAAAGCTAACTTAAACGCTAACGCTAACTAAAAAGCTAATATAATAGTTATATAAATATTTACTAGCATAATTATTATAAAACTATTATATATAGCTATATGCTTAATGCCTAGCTTAGCATTATATAAAAGAGATATTATAGTAAAACTTAACTAATAGATAGTAGCAGCTAGTATAGCTTAATAATTAGCTAAACTATAGTACTACTTACTTACTATATAAGCATTACTTAAAGTAAGCGCTTTACTGTTAAGTAGTATTAACTTTACTAGCTAAAAAAGCTATAAATAGTATTAGTATAAATTATATATAATCTTAAGGCTAAGCAACTTACTAACGCGTATATAATAGTAGGTAGCTAAGTAATATTTAGCATAAGCGTTACTACTATAGCTATATATACTACTAACTTATTAAGTATAATGTTAAAAGATTTTATAAGTAGTAATAGCTACCTTAATAAAACAACTTGCTATAAAGGTAAGAAGGCTATAAATAAATAGATTTATACTTATTATAATGCCTGCTTAAGAAGAGTGCTAGCGCAAGCTACGCGTAAGCTGTACATAGTATATACACAGCTTATTAAATGCGCATTATAGTCTAAAAGCAGTGCTTATAACGTAGGCTGCGTAGCGTAGTTTGCGTATAGGCTATAGCACGTATAGATGCATTTAGTAAGTAGAAGCAAGGTTGCGCCTACCTTGCGCACTTAGTGCGCAAAAGGTGCGCCTATAATAAAGAGTACCTTCCGCACTCTCTTAAAGTATAAGAGGCAAGAATTAGCTATTAAATATACTGCTACTCTTTTTATTAAAGAGATACTTTCTTGCTTATATAACTTACTTTGCCTACCTAAGTATATATAAAGGTTAAAGGAGGTTATACGTAGCAGTTATATAACGTAATACACTATAAAAAGCAAAAGGCTAAATAAAGTCTAGTGTAAGCAAAAGAGTATTATATACTAAAGAAGAAATAGATACATCGTAACCCTTTTAGAGGTCTGTATTAATACTAGTGTTAGGCCTTGCTTTTATGCCTTCTAACTAATTATAGGCCTTTATAGCTAAGTAGGGCAAAAGAGCTATAGTGTAGTAGATTCTAATGCTTAATACTCCTTTTAAATATGCTACGCAAGCGTACTATAATATATTAAAGTTATCCTTAGCAGCCTATTTACGTCTGCTAGCTTATTAGGCAAGGTGATAGTCTTTAAAACGCTGCCTTAAGCAGCGCCTTTATTATAACATTAGTATTTTAATCTTTAAACTTTATATACTATACTATTAATAAGCTGCCTAGCATGCTTTTATAAAAGTAGTGCTATTTAACGTTAAAGTACTTTAATTATTCTTTAAATTTAAGCTTTTTTATAATGTTAATTATAAAGGTGTTATCTATAAATATTTAAAGATTAGCTTAAAGGCTTATTTTAAGTATAAATTGTTTAATCTAGCAAACTTACGTTATTATATAGTAGGCAGTGCTATATTTAGCTTTATAGGTAAAGGTGTTAACGGTTAAGAGCTTTTTAGCTTTTTAAAAAACTAGCTCTTTTAAGATTTTAAAGATAAAGCTATATATAAAGTAATAATTAACTAAATTATTAGCTTAAGACGTATAAAACTATTCTTTAATATAAATATACCTTTTTAAGAAAGGCTTTTAATAGTAGTAAACTATTATATAGTTCTTTTTACCTTATAGGTAGTAAAGCAAGTGCTTAGCTATAAAGGGTTAGTGTACAATATGTAGTCATAAAGGCTTAAACGTGTTTATACTATTATATTAAAACTTTAACTTAACAAACTATAGTAGACTAGTAGGCGACAGCCTGCTAGCTAATTTATACGTAACTTAGAAGATGCGGTGTAGCGCAACCCGAGTAGGGCGTAGCGTAGCTAAGTAGCTATGCTAATCCTATGCAACGTGTTAGGATAGTTCGTTAAGTCTAACGCTTAGTAAGCGACGGGTTGCTAAACTAGTGCATAGGGACGCGTGTATAGAATATTCTTACACTATACTCCCTCTCTCTAGGTAATGCCCTTATTAGCCTAGAGGTGTATACGCGGCAGACACTTGCTTATTAAAAAACCTCTTTGTATAAAGTTAGGAAAAAGAGGTAAGTGCTTTAGGTTATTAGCGGTTGCTAAGCGGCTGCGGACCGCTTGCTTATGCGACTGCATTTAGGTAACGTAGAAGCGCATACGTACTACTTAGTTTATAGCGGTAGTAAACATTAGATCCTGCTAAATGTAAGGGTTGTCTTATGCGTTAGAGCTTTTTAAGAGGCGTGTGGCTTAGATCTTAGTTAGGGAACGCTTAAGTTGCTGCTAATAAGTGTTATAAGGAAGCTAGCCTTAAATACTAAATGTATAAGGGTGTAGTATATACTAACTAAAAATAGTAGCATAAAGCTTAAGACTTTTGTTTACTAACTAGGTAGGATAAAGGCATTAGCAGCCGTTTATTGCCTATTAATTATAGAACTATTGCTAATTAAGTAGTATAGGCGGTTTACTGTTAGAACGTTTCTTTATTTAATTTTAAACGTTTCTTACCTTACTATTAAAGTAAAGTTAAGCGCGTTTTTAAAACGTATTTAAACGTTTAATAATATAGCTTATTTATTACTTTAAAGTATAAAAGAGTAAGTATATTTTATAATTTTAAAATAAATTTATTTATATTTATAAGACTACTTTTACCTTTT